AGCTCAACCCATGAACATAAGTCAGAACACAGCATTCAGCTAACACCTCTTCCTACGGTAAAGCAGGAACCCAGCCAGCGTGTCGTCATCGACACGTCCCGGATAGAATGCGGCCCACCAGGACACCAATCCAGTCCACTTCATCTGAAAAATAGAGAGATTCCTTCTCAACGTGAGAGAGATGACCCAAAGCCTAGTGATTGGTTCAAACAACCTAAGCCAGCCCACAGCTCACAACATATAGCTTCATCAGCACCAGCTCCCTCAGACAGTCCTCTAATGATGGATCTAGCTAGATATTTAGCTCGACGAGAACTTGTAACTACCGGTTTATCTCACTTCGATGATCATCCTGAAAACTAAAGAGCATGGAAGGCTTCTTTTGTCAATACAGTTTCAGACTTAGGCCTTACAGCTAGCAAGGAGCTGGATCTATTATCAAAGTGGTTTGGCAAGGAGTCCCCTGCTTATGCGAACCGCATTAGGGCAGTTCACGTAGACGACCCTGAGACAGCTTTAAAAATGGTGTGGGACTAAATGAGTGCTACAGTTCTCCCGAAGTCATCGAAAGTGCTCTCTTTAAGAAAGTGGACAGCTTCCCTAGGATTTCAAGTAAAGACAGCCTAAAGCTGAGAGAACTTGGAGATCTCTTGATGGAATTGCTTTCTGCAAAGGAAGATGGCTGTTTACCCGGGTTAGCCTACTTGGACACTGCCCGTGGTATCGGGCCCATAGTGGAGAAAGTCGCCTATGGTTCACAGGAGAAATGGATTTCTCAGGGCTCAAAGTTTAAGGAGGAGTATAATGTCTCCTATCCACCTTTCTCTTTTTTCACTCAATTCAGACACGACCCAAGCTTCAATCTGCTAAACAGCAACAGCTCTCGGAGTGAAAAACCCTCACAGAAACATGCCAGCTACAGAATGCCAGTGTCTGTACACAAAACTGATATCTCTCCAACTGTAGATACAAACACAAGCAGCACTTTCAAAGACAATCCAGCCAGACACTGCCCTATTCACAACAAACACCTGCTGAGAAAATGCCGTGGCTTTAGACTTAAAACTACTGAAGAAAGAAAAGCTTACTTAAAAGAGAAAGGAATATGTTTCAAGTGTTGCGCGCCAGCTTCACACGTCGCCCGCGACTGTGATGAGTGTGACAGCAAGAATCACAATACAGCCCTCCATCCTGGTCTACCCCCATGGGCACCGAAAGCATCAGACCCCTCATCAGAGCATGGAGGGGAGGAAGAAGTGCGTGCATCATCATCACCTGCTGTAAACTCTCTGTGCACTGAGATTTGTGGCAAAGGGCTTTCAGCAAAATCCTGCTCGAAAATATGTCTCGTCAAAGTATATCCAAAAGAGAATCCTGAACGTGCCATTAAGATGTAGATCTTTGGCTACATCAGAGTTCTTTGATCTGTTAGGTATTTGCAGCAGTGAATTTCCTTACACGTTAAAAACCTGTGCTGGAATGACAGAAGCTTCTGGTAGGAGAGCATCCGGTTATCAGATTGAAGCTGCAAATGGTGGAGTCAGTCTAACACTCCCAACGCTAATTGAGTGCAATGAGATATTAAATAATCCTCACCTTCAGCGCATTGCTACGGAAATCCCGGCATTAGAACCTGATGCCCACATCAGTCTCCTCTTGGGCAGAGACATCCTCAGAGTTCATAAAGTGAGACGACAGATCAATGGACCTCTTAATGCAGCCTTCGCTCAGAAACTAGATCTTGGGTGGGTTCTCATAGGTGATCTTTGCCTAGGAAAAGTCCACAAGCCCACTGTGCACAGCTTTAAGACAAATGTGCTGGAGAATGGAAGACCATCATTCTTCACTCCATGCCACAGCCACACCTACTTAAGAGAAAGTGTCAACCACAGCCTTGAGTTACATGCTTCCAAAGGCCACTGGGGAAGCAAATTAGACGATGGACTTGGGCTCATTGTCTTCAAAAGAACATGTGACCATGACAGGCCCGCTCTTCCTATGGAAGACAAAGTCTTTTTAAGGCTTATGGATAAGGACGTCTACCAAGACAATTCAAACAGCTGGGTGGCCCCTCTTCCTTTCAGAAGCCCCAGACTGCCCCTTCCTAACAATAGAAAACAAGCCTTAACTTGCTTCTCCTCTCTAAGGCACACCCTGGAAAGATATTCGACAGCGATCACGCTGAGCCTGCACCTCCACTCAGAGAGGGAAAAGAATGCTGGTATTTACAGACATTTGCTGTTTATCATCCAAGAAAACCAAATCAAATCAGAGTTGTATTCGACTCTAGTGCACAGTGCAATGGCTTCTCCCTGAATAATGTTCTCCTTACAGGACCAGACTTGAATAATAGTCTCCTGGGTGTCCTAATCTGCTTCAGGAGGGAATATGTGGCAGTGACAGCAGACATAGAACAGATGTTTCATTGTTTCATTGTGCGGGAAGACCATCGGGATTATTTGCGCTTCTTCTGGTTTCCTGATAATGACCCCAACAAAGATATCATGGAATTTAGGATGAAGCTCCATGTATTTGGGAATAGCCATTCACCAACAGTGGTGATCTACAGCCTGAGGAGAGGTGCAAGAAAAGGCGAACAGCAGCATGGCCCTGACACTGGCAGTTAAAGGGGCGCCAGTTCTCTGTAGATGATGGACTTTTCACGCTTTGCTGTGAAAGATTATCTGGTGCAATCCTGTTTGTTTACCCTGTCAAAAGCATCGTCTATAAGTGTTTCAGACATGATATAGACACTAGTTTAATATTTTATAAGTATGTGAGATTTATGTTCGCTTTAGCTCTTTTTTCTTATTCATGTTGAAAAGGGCTATGTAGCCTTGTTCTTATATCATCCCATCAGAGCTTGTTTGAACATCCCGAGTGATTAGTAAGTCAGAGAAGATTCAGAAATGATCATGAAGGCAAAAATGTTGAGACCTTATCTAGAACGTGGTCTGAGTGTGCATCGGTTCTTTCACATGCTGTGGGAGACCAAAAGTGTCAAGTAAGGCAAACAGTTCTTCAGCATTATTGTCCATGTTGTGATCTATGTGGATGTTAAAATCACTGGTTATAATAAAATTAAGTTGTAATTAATGGAGATAACTGACAGTAGTTCAGCAGTCATCAGTAAAAGTTGCAGCTTATTTTTTGGGTCTGTAAATGATGAAAAAATAAAATTCTGGGAGCACCCTTCAATATGAAATAGAGGTATTCAAAAGAAATAAAGTTAACAAGTGCAATCTCTTTGCATCTTTAACTAAAGCAGCCACTCCCCCTCCTTTCTTACCAGTTTGGTGCGTATTCATAAAACTAAAATTTCTAGTGGCTGTCTCAATGAGAATAGTAGCACTGCTGTCTTCTGCTAACCATGTTTTAGTGAGAAACAGAAAATCTAGTTTTGTGGTGTAGAGATCTCATATTAAATAGAGTTAGCTTTGTAGAGATATAGGGAGTCCCTGTAGCAGTCTGAAGTTGTCGTGATACAGGAAAAAGACTAGAGTGGTTTGGTGACACCAATGCTGAAAGCTGAATGCACTCGATTCCTTCGGTTTCTAATCAACACAGGAATAAAGAACATAAGAGTCCTACTGGGTCCTGGTAGTTTTGCATAAAGATGCATGTTGTAGTGTAAAATGGTAGTGGCAATTTCATTAATATAGATATTGATATTTACAATAAATCACCTGGTAATTTGCTTAGTTGGCACCCTTAAGAAACTACAACTATAGTCCCTTTCAGAATTATGGGTGCCCATGGTACATACTATCCATAAGGAAAAAATAGTCATGGTTTATCAGCTCAGCTCAAACTATGGGAGAAACAGTAAGCTTCGACTAAAATTAAGTTCAAAGAAACAAAATATTTGAAAAATACTTAGTGTGGAATTGGTGTAGCTCCATTGCTGCTGTCCATGAATTTGTGTGCATGAAATCTGACAATGTTGCATAAGCTACATGTCCAAACGATTCTATTAGTACTCCATAGTGGCATGTGGAGGAAACACTGATGTTTCCATCCCTCCATATCTCTAAAATACTTCCACTTCCCTGTATGACTTCTTTAAATGTGAAGACGTTTTAGTGTAATCAAACTAACCTGTTTCACTTTATACGCACAAGCTTGGCCCTACACAGGGATTTTTTGCCTTCTCACAGTAGCAAATATTCAGCGACTGGCTCTCTTCCCAAAAATAGTTTTGTTGCTTATACATCATAAAGCATGACATCAGCTTTGGTTAGATCAAATTCAGCATGCTTTTATGAGACCACAGCGCACGTGTCTACACAGCACCCCTTCAGACCCAGGACAACTCTAATGCTTATAAACAGACACTGTTTAAAAAGGTTCACCCAGTCTGATGCTATCTTTTTTAAACAACGGTAAAAACTAGAGTCCTGTGTTTTTGAAGAAGGACTTAACTACATTATTGAATCTGTGTGATATGTACGTTTGTTTTTCCTATTAGAAATGCAATGCTTTCATCTTGACACAAAAAATAGTTTACACTTGTTGTCACTCTTCACCTGCTTGCCAGCTGTACATAAGTGTTGGATTTTAAATTATGGTTCTAACCCTTCCCATGTGCTCAGTCTTTAACTTGCTTTTTTTCATAATAATGCTAATGTTAATTATTAATGTTGAGTTTTAATTAGGGTTGCAACAAATATTGAATAAAATATAATAAATTTGATAATTAAAATATTATTGCATGCTTTCCACTGCATGGTGAGTCAACTGTCTGTCTGACAGCAGAAAGGTACTTAATGGAACTCCACTGGACATCAAGAGTAATACAGCTGAGTGTAGCACACGCTTGGGTACAGAGTGTTTTTTGAGCAGCTTTAAAACACTTGATCCTATAGAAGGGCTGTAGTCAAGCCCATCTTTGTAGAGTCCAAGATCATAACTATTCGACAAGGTCAAGCTTTGTCCTTTGCCAATGACATGTCATTACAGATCCTACTAATTATTTTTTGATATTTTCTTTTTGAATAAAGGACTTAAAAAAATCAAAAAAGAAGAATTATGGAATGATTGTCTAACAGAAGCTGTTAATTTTGGACGAATGTTTATTTCCGTGTATGTCACTACAGTAGGTAAGTAAACACTTTCTGTTCTTTTCACTGTTCACTTACACATTGTTTGATTTTTGTTCATATTGTCTACTATATTTCTCTTGCTGAATTGTACACCTTTTGTGACTTCAAATTGTGACTTCAAAATTTCAGTTGATTTTCAGTCTTAATCATTTGTCTGATTGCCATGAGCAGTGTTTAAGTTGAAGCATATCAACCTATGTAGTATTATTTCGGTTTTTCATTTTATACACATCTCAGTAAGTAAAATGTGTGTGAAAATGTGTGTAATGTGAAAGATCAATATGAAATAATTATATCAGCACAAAAACTTTTTTGAAGGCAAATGTACTAGACCACATTAACATAAATGTCATTCTCTCATTTTCAGCTATTGTTTTGTTAGCATTCCTGCAATTTCTGCAAGTATTGTTAATCATGTTAAGTAAGTACAATGCTCTACATATCCTTGTAGAATTCTATTTAATTATCAAAGGAAAATATGTGTTTCCTTGTGGAGGAAATTTTGGACCATTTACTGTCATTAAAAAGGTAATGAAACAAGTATGCATAAAAAATGCAGTCTTCAAAAATTCTTCTTCCTCCATACACAGAGCTGATCATTAAGACCAAAGAGTTCAAGTTTAGTTCCACCTGACCAGAAAGCACTCCTCCAAAAGGCTGCATCAGGTTCTAAATGTAGGCCCTTACACCAACTATCTTCTGATTATGACAGTTGGCCAATCAGAAGCTTCTACAAAAAAGTCATTACATCAGTTTCTGAACTGGTTAAAGAGACAGTGAACTTTTGGCCCACTGGAAATAAAATACAGTGAATGGAAGCTGAAATAAATCAGTTTTTTAAAATGACCTCTGATGTAAATAAAGCAGATGCCCTGACTGACTCACAGAAACAAATGTGTGGCAACATTGTGTGCAGTTGTGAAAAATTGAGTTTGAATGTCTTTAAGTGTATGTAAACTTTATACGTAAATATTTCACAAACATAAATGTCAGTGACAGGCAGGCAGCCTCCATAAAAGCATAACAATTTCCTTGAGCTATTATTTTGAATGATAAAACATTTTGAAATGCATTCCTCTGCCTGTGCTGTCATGTTAAAAGGCATGCCAAGCCCTATGTTAATTTTGGCTGGTGTCTGTTTTTTTTCTTTTCTTTTGTTTTTTTTTACCGTTGTTGTTTTTCCTTCCCTGCTATTAAGCAAGTTACATTCATGGACTCAAATATGCGAATTCCAGTTTTAGCTGAAATGCACAATGCTAGTCACTAGAGGATTAATATTTTAATCAACTCAGTCATATGATGGTAGTGCCTGATACAGCACCATATAGTAGCAGGCATATGTCTGAATCTGGCTTCCCTAATGTTCAGTAATTCATGTTAACACAGGATCAGGGGAAATGGTAAATTTAAGATATTTTCATGAAATAAAGCGCAAAGTTTAATTTGGTCATTTTAAACAAAAGATACATTTTAAGTGCTAAATCCTTCACATTTCACATTCAATTTGTAGTACTTTTGTAGTCTTTGTTTTAATTTACTTTTCTATGGAGCATTTAAAGACACATTACATTTCACATTATTGTTCAGTTTCAAATATTTTTTTTGAAATGTGCAGCACTTCCTTAGATGTAAAATGCAAAATTCAGTCTACACTGTTGTAATATCATTGTGTTGATGAGATTTTATTTAGGTTTGCACAGGGGTAACTGGAATGTTTGCTAAACTAATGGCAAACACTATCATATACCTTTGCTTGTTTTCTTTTACACAGGTGTCGTCATCATAATATTGAAGGGTAAGTCTAAATCCACATTGTTCATAGAGTTGTAAAGTCAGTTACTGTACTATACTGAAGAATGTTTGAAGTACATACAAACTATGAAATATCACCATTTTACATTTGCAAAAGAAAGCAGCAAACTCAAGAAGTATTGAAGTGTTCTAAGCTTTCCCTTACAAAACAATGTTTATTCAAGCGTGCTATTAGTATACTTCTTTTAAATTAAAAAATAAGGGACTTATACTGACAACTATACAGAAAAGTCTGTTTGGTGCATACTTGAACTTAATCTTTTGATCGAGATATACTTAAAAAAATCAGTATTTTTGTCTTATGCATATATAGTTTAAGTATACTTGGTTTGTAGTCTGGGGTGGGATAGCTTAGGGTAAACAGTACATGGGTAGAACTGAACATGATCTTTTAGGTGTTATTAACCCACATAGAATCAAAACATTTGACTGTTTTTATTGACAATTTTTGCAAGGTCTGAGTTTGATTTTTTTTATTTATAAAGAAATTTTTTATTTATTTTTTTTTTATCCTGAGTTTGTCTAACGGATTTTATATGTGTAGTTCACTTGTAGTGTTCATGTTAGTTAACTTTAAATCTACTTAAAGTACAATTAAAGGTATTTTTCAAGTATATAAATTAATACCTAGTAAAATGGCAAAATAATATACAAGTAGTGATCTACAAGTATTATATTAAGATCACTTAAAGAAAATTTACTAATATACTTGCAGTATAAAACTATTAAAGTAAAAGTTTACTGAGAGTACATTTAAAAGTGTATTTTTTATAAATTAAAAAGTGGAATAGAATTATTACGGCAATGGAGAGGCAGAGATGGCCACACATGTGCAAGGTGCTCCTCTCCCTGCTCAGGGACAGCTGAGGCCAATCCAGGTGGAGCATGGACTCTTTAAAAGACTGGCTGTCTTCAGCATGGAGGGGGGAGAGAGCCTGGTCTAAAGAGACTGAGGAAAAAGGACCTTAAGATAAGAAAGAAATGAGAATAGTTCAGATTGGTTTCTGTTTTTGTTCACTAATGTGTAAATAAAGACTCTGTTTCTTGGCCTGCATGGGCTCTCAGCCACAGCAGCTCAGCCTCTCTCCAGGCCGCCACCAGAGTATATAACTAGTAAACTAAAAGTATACCTATAAGTTTACTTATAGTGTAGTTCACAGTATAGATGCAGTACAAAGTGAAACTATGTAAAGTGTAGTAGTTGTGTACAACAGAGAGAAAATCTAATAGCGTGTTGTCTGTTCGTGTTTATGGGTTTATTTAGTCTGATCCGTCCCTATAAATGTGTGTATATATACCGTTTGCTTGTGGAATACTTCAAAGTCACTTTCATAAACTAGAAAGTGGACTAGTATTATGTAATTAGTAACCTAACAAACTAACACTGTGTATATATATACATTTTACTTGGGAAATACTTCAAAGTATAAAAAAAAATATTTCATAGCAGGACAGTTAGTATAGAACTGTATGATTATTTTGGAGATTAATGTGCAGCACTCCCTTAGATGTAAAATGACATTCAATGTACACATCTGTAATACCATGTCAGTGTGTTGATGAGATGTACTTGGGTCGTGCAGGAATATTATTCTGAACTAGTCGTAAACACTATCATACAACTTTACCTGTTTTCTTTTACACAGGCAGATCATTCAGAGGATCAATGGGTAAGTCTAAATCCACTTTGCTTAAACAGTTCATAGGTCAGTTGTTGCACTCAATGGAATGTCTGAGGTAAAAACGAACAAACTGTGGAATATCATAATTCTACATTTTCAAAAGAAAACAGAAAACTTACGAAGTATTGTAGTAGTCTTTAAGATGTTCATCTAGTGTGTCTTAAAGCTCTGTTGTAGACCCTGACACCCCAGCCAAAATGAAAAATACAACCTGTAACTATCACTACATCTATCACTATCATGTGCAACCATGACTGCTATCAAGACAAATATTTTATAACAGGACAGTTAGTATAGAACTATAGGATTATTTTGGAGATTATTAAGGATATATTAGGTTTTGATTAGCAGGACAGTTAGTATAGAACTATAGGATTATTTTGGAGATTATCAAGGAGATTTTAAATTTAGATTAGCAGGACAGTTAGTATAGAACTATAGGATTATTTTGGAGATTATTAAGGAGATATTAAGTTTAGATTAGCAGGACAGTTAGTATAGAACTATAGGATTATTTTGGAGATTATTAAGGAGATATTAGGTTTTGATTAGCGGGACAGTTAGTATAGAACTATAGGATTATTTTAGAGATTATTAAGGAGATATTAGGTTTTGATTAGCAGGACAGTTAGTATAGAACTATAGGATTATTTTGGAGATTATTAAGGAGATATTAAGTTTAGATTAGCAGGACAGTTAGTATAGAACTATAGGATTATTTTGGAGATTATTAAGGAGATATTAAGTTTAGATTAGCAGGACAGTTAGTATAGAACTATAGGATTATTTTGGAGATTATTAAGGAGATATTAGGTTTTGATTAGCAGGACAGTTAGTATAGAACTATAAGATTATTTTAGAGATTATTAAGGAGATATTAGGTTTTGATTAGCAGGACAGTTAGTATAGAACTATAGGATTATTTTGGAGATTATTTTGGAGATATTAGGTTTTGATTAGCAGGACAGTTAGTATAAAACTATAGGATTATTTTGGAGATTATTAAAGAGATATTAAGTTTGGATTATTTTGGAGATTAAGGAGATATTAGGTTTTGATTAGCAGGACAGTTAGTATAGAACTATAGGATTATTTTGGAGATAATTAAGGAGATTTTAGGTTTTGATTAGCAGGACAGTTAGTATAGAACTATAGGATTATTTTGGAGATTATTAAGAAGATATTAGGTTTTATCCTTAGTCTAAAAAGAGGTGAGGCATGAACATACATACTAGCACTCACAACTCAGACAACAATACCCCCTGTAAATATTATATCTGCGATGTAAATTATGTATATAATACAGTATGCATATGCAAAACTCACCTTTAAAAGTAAGAAAAATGCGAAATATTGCAAAAAGGCAAAAGAGAAATATTGAATTTTTTATTATTATTTCAATTATTTTCATTCGCTTCTCTTAAATGTTGTACTAGAGATATTCACTCAACACTCTATGGCCGCTTGACATATAGCGTTTAACGCAATTACTGCCATTTACTGGTGAAGAAAAATAGCAGTACCTTCCAGCTGCGAAAACAGTTGAAGTGTTCCATTGCAAAATGCTGTGTTTCCATCAATAAAACATTTAGATATAGCAAATTTTTTAAAAAGAATAATAGATGTATAATGGGAAACACATTTTCATTTTCTGAAGGTGGTATTTCTCAGAATAACTGTGGCATATATTAAGATTATTCACAGTTTTAATTAAATCAAATGCCTATTTTCAGTAAATAAACTAGTTTACAGTTTATTAAACATACAACAGTTCATGTTGTGCTCTGGTGCTCTGTAGCTAAAAGCAGATTTTTCATAGTTCAGTAATAACGCTCGGTCCCTGAAGGAGGTTTTTGTCCCAGTTTGCCTGCAAAGTTATTGATATGGCATCTAATAGTACATTTGTCATCTAGCCTTATGACAAGGTACTTATATTCAGTGACTCTTACAATGTTGAATCCTTTCAGGGTCCTGATTTTCAAAATGAATATCAATCGATGCTAAAAGCTCTGAAAAAAAAATGACTTTTCCACATTTAAAACTCATTTATGGTTGTAAAAGGCAGTTTTTATTGCATTAAAAGAGCGCTGCAATTTTTCTATTGCTACAAAGATAGAGTCGGTAGAACAGTTTCATCTGCAAAGAGAGGCACTTTGCAGTCCACAATGGAGGTGGTGACAATTATTATAGATATAAAATCGGTCCCAAAACTGAGCCCTGAGGAACACCTTTAAGTTTATTTTGCTCCAGGGCAACACACTGTGGCAACAGATAATGCTGAACCTATCTAGAAGCATTGTGGGCAAATCCAATATGTTGTAGAATTTTTCAAAGTAGCCAATGACCATCTGTATGACATGGTTTGGAAAGATCATTACAATCGGATGCACAATGTTTTGTTCTGTCTATTGCAGTAAAAATATCATTTAAAATAAGTGTGGTAGCAGATATGTTTTCTTCTGAAATGGGATCGGTAGGTACACAAAATGGAGTACATGGAGACATGACATGAGTTGATTGTTCACAAAAGATTCTAAAATTTTTGCTAAGCATGACAAGGTACATATGCTGTACATACAAACAAACTATGAAATATCATAGTTTTACATTTGCAAAAGAAAGCAGCAAACTCAAGAAGTATTGTAGTGTTCTAAGCTTTCCCTAACAAAACAATGTTTATTCAAGCGTGCTATTAGTATACTTCTTTTAAATTAAAAAATAAGGGAGTATGCTTTTAATTTACTTTTTATATACTTGGCTTATACTGACAAGTATACAGAAAAGTCTGTTTGGTGTATACTTGTACTTAATCTTTTGATCGAGATATACTTAAAAAATATAATTCAGTATTCTTTTCTTATGCATATATAGTTTAAGTATACTTGGTGTGTAGTCTGGGGTGGAATAGCTTAGAGTAAATAGTACATGGGTAGAACTGAACATGATCTTTTAGGTGTTATTAACCCACATAGAATCAGATAAATATTTGACTGTTTTAATTGACAATTGTTCCAAGGTCTGAGTTTGTTGTGTTTTGTTTTGAACAGTAATATCAATTTAAGTTTTTATGTTTTCTTAGTTTGGTATCCAAAACAATATTTGTTTGAATTTTTTATTTATAAAGAAAACAATGTTTTTGTTTTTTTTTAATCCTGAGTTTGTCTAATGGATTTTATATGTGTAGTTCACTTGTAGTGTTCATGTTAGTTAACTTTAAATCTACTTAAAGTACAATTAAAGGTATTTTTCAAGTATATAAATTAATACCTAGTAAAATGGCAAAATAATATAAGTAGTGATCTACAAGTATTATATTAAGATCACTTAAAGAAAATTTACTAATATACTTGCAGTATAAAACTATTAAAGTAAAAGTTTACTGAGAGTACATTTAAAAGTGTATTTTTTATAAATTAAAAAGTGGAATAGAATTATTACGGCAATGGAGAGGCAGAGATGGCCACACATGTGCAAGGTGCTCCTCTCCCAGGAGCAGCTGAGGCCAATCCAGGTGGAGCATGGACTCTTTAAAAGACTGGCTGTCTTCAGCATGGAGGGGAGAGAGAGCCTGGTCTAAAGAGACTGAGGAAAAAGGACCTTAAGATAAGAAAGAAATGAGATTAGTTCAGATTGGTTTCTGTTTTTGTTCACCAATGTGTAAATAAAGACTTTTTCTTGGCCTGCATGGGCTCTCAGCCACAGCAGCTCAGCCTCTCTCCAGGCCGCCACCACAGTATATAACTAGTAAACTAAAAGTATACCTATAAGTTTACTTATAGTGTAGTTCACAGTATAGATGCAGTACAAAGTGAAACTGTGTAAAGTGTAGTAGTTGTGTACAACAGAGAGAAATTCTAATAGTGTGTTGTCTGTTCGTGTTTATGGGTTTATTTAGTCTGATCCGTTTTTGTTTTTTTTTCATATAAATGTGTGTATATATACTGTTTGCTTGTGGAATACTTCAAAGTCACTTTCATAAACTAGAAAGTGGACTAGTATTATGTAATTAGTAACCTAACAACTAACACTGTATATATATACAGTTTACTTGGGAAATACTTCAAAGTATACTTTCATAAACTAAAAAGTTTATGAAACAACTAGTTGTGTGATCAAAGTTTACTACTCTTTCACCTAAAGTAAACTTAAAAGTGGGCCAATTTAGTCCCAAGAAGCATTTAAATAGTAAATTTACTAGTATACCACTACAACATTG